GTGACTTAGTCGATGATCAACTTTCAGTCATTGTTGATGTTGATTTTCTTTGCAGGTATTTCTCTTCGAACCGTCGACGGGGCAGCAGTTCAGCCGCGGAGCGCAACGACCGAATGTGCAGGCATCATCGAATGTGTGCCACGCGTGATCCACGAATGGTGCGAAGCGCCAAGGATGGTGGTAACGACGCTTACGCGACGAATATGTACATGACGCCTCCAGGGAGTAAAAGTGGCGGCTCAAAATTTAACCCTCAACAGTTTTCACAGCAGAATGCGAACTGCGTCAACTCAAACCAGTCGAACGCAGCTACAAATTCAGGTTTGCCTTGTTTGTTGCTGCCAGAAATTTATATACCGACCATGCACTTTTGGTCTTTACTGTAAATAAGATTATGTAACGGTAGCCAATGGAAAACTGATGCATTGGCCAAGCAGCATTTATCATTTTAAAAACTATGTAGCGACTTACTGATAGCTGTGTTGTTTTCACTGAAAGCAAGACCTAAGACATTGGTCTCTTGCCGTATTTGCAGGCGTTGAATCCCAAAAACTTGTTTTGCAGACCTTATTCAGTAGCACCGCTTTCAGAGAGCGAACCGTTTCTTTTCCCAGCTACAACCTTGACTAGGTGTTATCTTGTTTTCAGATCCACGCTTCTTTATAAGCTGACTTAGGATGGTCTGCCTTAATATTTTCATGACAACTTTTTTTCACTGATGTTAAAATTGCCACCTTCCTTTTTTATTGTGTTGTTTGAGCAGCCAAGAACACACCAAAAGTCAGATGACTAATATTTGGCACCTAGTCACATTTGAGCAATTGCCATCAGCCTCGCTTTCATGCTGATTTGTTCGATGGGCAGGGCTCAGGACAGTTTGTGATGCCTTCTAAAGTTGCTGCTCCCGCAATTTGCAAGGAGTAGCAGGTTGTGAAAATGGGTGGATTTTGGTCTACCGTCTTTTGTTTGCAGAATGGGAAAGAAGAGGCCCACAACATCGGAAGCCTGATGGTGGAATGTCACGAAGTACCTTCGGCGGCGATTCGCAGGTGTTCAGCAGCCGCAGGAATGTGCCGTTGAAAAGTATTTCTGATTTTATTGTGAGTATGATTTGACCATTGACCGCTGTGTTTTTGATTTCACAGACCAGAGGGAGAAAGATCGACTGCCAGATCTGAAGAAGTTTGGGCACGATTTCCAGTTGTCTTCAAACGATGTCAGGCAATCGCCGACGACCTCAGCAGATTGCATAACGAATGGCGGTGGCAGTGACTCGTCAATTCCCCCGGTTTCTCCCCAGGGAATCACCCATGGCTCTCAAAGCAATAATTCCATTTCTGTTGTGCAACAGCAAAAACCGTCCTCAATTTGTTTGTCCCAGAATTCACCAGACTTCAAAAAATCTTCTCCACCGTCACAAAACGTGAAAGTTAAATCTTGTCAAGCTGTAGGTCAAAAAGCGGAAAATAAGGTACGATCGTCGTGTGAATTCGTATGCACGTTCTTTGTACAGATGCGGTTTCAGACTTCTGTTGCCGGGAGCGAAGCGCCGACGTATTCGAACGTTGTTGTCGATCGTCGCAGTCCGGAACGAGGGGGCGGCAGTGAGCATCGTGCCAGGGCTCCCGAACCTACAGCTTCATTGTCTGCCTCTGAAGGAAGTGATGCTGTGTCTGTCGCGACGGCTGATGCTCAGTCGCCGTTTACTCCTACTAGCGACCAGGCTCAAGAGTAACGTTTCAGTTTCTTATTTTTTGTTACTGATCATCTTCACTGAGGCACTTCTTTGAAGGTCCCTGCTGAAACATAAACTGAATCCGGATGCAAAGGAATTTAAACCCTTGCAGGTAACAGTTTTAGCCGAAATCCTCGGTTTTTGATATCGCTTCGTAACTCGTTTATTCGTGTCGCACAACCTTCACTCGTGTTGTCAATAGTCATATTGTCCATCTTCAGGTGCCCCACTCGGCTTTGGCAGGTTCCTTGGTCGGCGTCTATCCATCATCCACGCCGAGTCCATCGCAGATGCCAGTGACTTTGGTACCGCATAATCCGCTTCTCGTCACTCAGGCTTCGAATCCGTCGTTGTATCCTCAGCCAGTTTCTTCCCTGTCAGTCCAGTATATTCCCGGCAATCCACCGATGTACAACATCCAGTCGAGCCAGACTCCGGTGGCCATATTGCAAAGCAATTCGACCTTTCGATCTAGGAAAGGTGCGTATTTTTTATCATAAACGAATAAGTTTGATTTCTGCATCTGAACTCTAATTTTTAGTCGTTGCTAGCCAGCATGATGCCGCTGCAGGTGCTGCTGGACAATCGATCATGACCACTCCGTCAATGCAGGCACAACAGCCGTGCCTGGTTCAGTACACAAGTATGCCCCCTGGCGCCCAGCCTCACGCTGCCTATGCTGGAAATCCAGTAAGTCCATAGCACCGTTTGATGCTAATTGTCATCTTCTAATCAGTCAGTTCATTTCTCACTTTAGTTTCTTCTCAGCGCTACACGTGTTGTCACTCCACAATACATCGTCAACCAGAACAATCCGACTGAGCATGGACAACAACCTCTTTACGGTAATATGCGACAGCTTAGGCTCTAGCCTTCCTCTGCGGTTAGTAAAATAACCTTTAGTCGAAGATGAGAACATTCCTGGCTTATGACACGGAGAAGGCGATTAGCGCCGCAATGTAAGCTTGTTGAAAAAGATGGCTGCCAGAAATGTCGCGCAAATGTCATAGTGCAAGAGATCGATATTACGTTGGTTACAGACATTAATTCTTTAATTTTTCTCGTTTCTAATTTCCAAAAATGATCAAGGTGCATATCAAGAAAGCAGTCACTATTTCATTATGCCTAATGAGAATTTGCTTTTGTAGTGTTGGTTATTTTGCATCAAACAATGTCTTTCTGGCGGTCAGTCGCATTGATCTCTTTTTCCGATTTACATCACACTGACTCGACGTCGTCCAGAATAATGTTAATCATGAGTAGATTACAGAACATTTACTTCCTTTCCACGTACTTCCACTCCCCTCCAAAGGTAAAGTTGTGAATAGGCACAATCATCTAAATGATGAGAACCTTTTCTGGGCAGGTATAGTGCTGAAGTTCTAGATTTGGATTATTCATTCATTCATTTGAATTTATTAACATATTATATCGTTTCCATTTTTAAATATGGTCAGTCATCCCGTTCTTTCGTTAGTCTCCCCAGGATTCTCCATCTCTTGAATGAAAACAGTTTTACGGCATCTCTTCAACGATTAATGCGGACAGTGCTCCCTAATCTGTAGTTTCAGATTTGTGCTCTGAGTCTCCTCCTAAACAGAGCTGTCTTTAGGACAAAGGAAACCCTCTAGGTTCCTGTGCCTCGTTGCCCGCTCTTGGCAGCGAGACTCGAATTTTAGCGTTTGTAGATGATTCGCCCTGATATCTGGATTGAACTTTTCCGTATTTAATGAATTTCTCCATATTCCAGTTTCCGCATGTAATTTAGTATAGCCTCATTTTGTAAGAACCCCTCAGTTTAACTTTGGAAAACGCCCTGCTCCAGAGATTCTTCAGTTAAATGTTAGTTTATTGTGCATAATTTTATGCTATTAGCGTAGTTTTTTCTGTCAGTAGCTTACTCGTTGCCAGCAATTTTTTTGAGCCAGAACTTCTTATCAGTTCGCAAGACATCGAAAATATGTATATATGAATAAAATTCTCATCAGCGGTCAGAATTTGATGTTATAATAGTAATGCAAACGTTAGATAGTATGAGAATACCTTAAACGGTTACCTAGGTGAGTTGCCGCGGTTTACGGTTTTGTAATTATTCGTGTGATAATTCGAATTTCACAGGTCTTTTCAAGCCTTGGATAAGGGCAAAAACGTGATTGAAATGTATTCCCGCTACTGTTCGAGTGAATAACTCAAAAGTCATCTGATCCGCAAATTATTAAGCCAGTTATCGATTAGAGTTCGTTGTACTCTCTTCAATACTGAAGTAGTTCTATGTTGTTTTGCATTGATTAAAGTTTTTG